TCGCAACCGCCGCCACGTTGGCAATCGGCGTGCACGGTCAGCCCGGCGTAATTGCACAAAGCTAATGCGCTCTTTACAGCTTTTCGTACGGCTCACCTTATGTAATCTCGGCAATATATAATTTTTTGCGACTCTATATATATGTATATATATCTATATATACATTTCTATACATACAACGAATTTACAAGTGTGTGCGATATATATTCCCACATATATATATATACATGTGTCTCTCATTTTTCAGCGCCAGAGTACCTTATGATTTTTCCGTTCTTTCGCAATCGCAAAAAAAAACATCACTTATTTACTAATTCTATTAATTGTCGTTATACATCAGCAGCGATTTAAGTGTTTACTTTTACAGCTAGGAGGAGGTGCTTTACATTATGCGATTGCATGCGAATTTTTGATATTTATTGCCGCATTATTCGCATATTTATATATTTACATTTAACATATATTTGTACACAACGGACAGTCGTACGTGGACTCGTTTGCGAACACTTTAAACGAACACGCAACCAACACACGCGTGCGCACATACATCGAAACACAACACAGTTCTTCACGACTTTAAGTTGCCTTTCTTTTCGTGATTTTTTTTTATTCTGCAATTGCTGTAGTGTTACGTGTATGCTTGTGCAATATATAGCAAGTTTCTTTTCACGGTTTTTATGGCTGCTAACAAAGCGATACTCTATATTTCGATTTTCTCGTAAGGAACGATGCACGCGACGCTATCGTCGCTACTCGTTTTGTTAATGCTGCTTCTCACACCGCTTATCTCATACGCGTTTTAGAAAACTTTCTGGTAGAAAGTCTTCCGTAAAATTCGGAATCTGTGAACGAAAATAGGATATACGGGGAAGCGCGGGTTATACAGAATGCGTGGCAACTGGCGCATTGCGGATGTGCATATTTCTGTCAATTATCGTTTACGCATACGTGTATGTGCAAAGAACGTGACTTCTATAGCGACAAATTGAATAATTCGTGCGCGATGGTTCGTTTGAAGGACTCTTTGAGAGAGAATGTTGAAATCAGTGGCCGATCAATCGACCTTTCTGTCGGGAATTGATTACGGAATTATTAAGAGGAGTAGCGGTAACAAGTTGTAACAAGTTAAAGAGTTGATTTTGGAGCAATTTAATTTATAGAACGGTAATGCAAGCAAGCGGAGGAAATTTTTCCCGCATTTAAATTGAAGCTCGCCAACTGCTCGCCATATACATACATTAAATGACGGTATAATTAATTAAATTCTGCAATATTTTCTGTTTATATCAAACACTTTTGCGAGTCGATGATGTTTCGTGACGGAATGCAAGTTAAATAGTAATCTTTCGCGATGCACAACTCCGAGATTTCATCCGTTTGAAACGTCGTTCTCGTCTTCGGGCCCGAGTCCTGTTACGATCTTCCCCGAGCGAAAATTCGCGAGTGTTACGCGAAATTGATTCTCTCGCGCCACTTGCCGGCCGCGTGTGCCGTTAATTAGGAACTCAAAAGGACCATTCGTCGCACCTGTCTCTCACTTTAGTCGCGGTGTCAGCTACACTATCTGTCTCGCAACAATTGGCGAGATACACACGCGCGCGCGCACACCCACAAACACACACACACACAAACAATCACTCACTCACTCACATACATTCTCTTTGTAGCCTGCCTGCTACACTAAAGCCACCGTGTCTTATGTCTGTGCACGCGGCTCATGCGTCGTCCGCATATGCAGAGTGTATGTGTGTTTTTTGTGCGCGTATGTGTGCGTGTCTCTTTCTCTCTCGTTAACCATTTACTGACTGTATACGTGTGCGTTTCCTAACGAGCTTTCCAGCTTGCCGAAAGCGCGCACTTTAACCCGCGGTTCACACTCGAGCGCCCGAACGCGCGCACTCGAATTAACACGCTCGAGCAAGGCGGGCGCGAAAGTGAAGCAAACACGACGAGCGGCACTCCGCGCGCGCGGAAGTGACGTGCGCTCGTGATGCGCTATTATGCTCATTATCCCGCCGGCGCTGCCACCGAGCACAAATGTCCCGTGTACGTGCCCGCGCGTGGAGGATTTATCTGATAAAAGTTAAAAAAAAAGACAGAAATTTCACCGAGAAACAGCCGATAGACTGTGCTCTGTATTCATTGACGAAATAGTGCTTCGCGTAGATTTCAAGATCGTAATGTGCATGGTACTCTAGATTGCTCTGAGTCTCATATCTTGAGAGAAGTAGATTTTTCGTCCCGATGCTGCTGTAATGACACCTGGAGATCAGTCGATTTCATCGGTGAATATGTATTTTTGTTTTATCGATCTCACTTTGCGACTCGTCGACGCTTGTGTCGATTATTTTTTCTCTTTTCCCGCCCCGTAATAGTCTTGGCTATTGCCTAAATTTTTTAAGAGGAATCTCCGCCATTCGAGGCCTCACTCGACTTCCTACTTCTCTCGACGGGAGGCGCGACGAGAATGCACAGGGAATGGTACGTGATGCATGCGCAGAGTTTCCTTTAACACGTGCGTGTATTAACCCGATTGATAATACACCGGAGGATGCTCGTGGAGGCAATTTATTATTACCCCTTGTCCTCCCTGACTGCCATCCAAACCCCCCGTGTCCTTCGACCTTACTGGGCGGGGCGAGGGTGCACCGAGTAACGGCGTGCTACACGCCTCTTTGACAGATTTGAACACGGTATTTTAGCTCCATTAGTAGAGAGTAGAGTGATCTAATTTCTCCCTTTTCTGGGCGTTGGTAAGCACCGGTCTCTCTCGCTGACGCTGAAATTAGCCCGGTAATACGAGTCGGCTGGCCGCGTCGCGGACCCTCCGTCCACTCCCGGCAAAAAGTACCCGCGCTCGCGTACGGGGATGACTCTTGCGAGAGTTACATCGGACGTTGTACACGTGTGTGTATGTGTGTGTGTGCGTGTGCGTGCACGAGTATCTGTGCTTCGGAGCAAACCGCTTTATACCTGTGGCAGAGAAGCCATGTTTCACCGAGGGTATCTCCTTTCCGTTAAGACGAGAGGCACCCGCGCGAGAAAATGCGATGAAAACGCGATGGAGAACCGAATGTAAAAAGCTCGAAGCTAATTGCAAGTGTCAAAAGGCATCTCCTAGGACGGCGTACCAACGGCCAGAAAGCAAGGAGGGATACTTACCGATAGGAATGTTAGGTTGGCTCTTTTTAACGCCTCCCCCGAAACAGACCCGAAGCCCACAAACGGAACGCTCTTTCGCATCACTCGATCCAATTGCTAGCTACACGTTACTCTACTCTCACTCTCATTTCTTTTAATACTTTCTCTCTCTCTCTCTCTCTCTCTCTGTTTTGTTTTTACCCACCCTACCTTTTGTTTCTGTCCTCTTTACGCATATTTTATTGCCTCACTGTATACATCCATCTTGTGTAAAAAGAACGACGTAGTCCCGCCTGTACATCGCCAGGTTCGGCACGAGCTCTGTGGCTGCCAAACACACTAAAAGCCTAGCCAGTAGTCTTTATGCGGCCAGGTGTCAACTGTGGATACACGTTATCGGGATTCTCTCTCTTGGCCTTTGCCGTGTATATATTAATTTTAATTAACGCGCATCGCGAGAATTAAATTCACGGCGGAGAAACGGCCATAGATGTGTTCCTTCTCAAGAATTATTTATTTTACATGTAACGTAAATTGATTTTTATGATTTAATCTAAGCAATATGTGTAAAGTACACTTTATCCATCTTAGCAACATTTCCGGAATTTTATTTGAATTGCTTTTAAAGTAAACTGTCGAGCTAATTTATGTACAAGCTTATGCGATGAATAAGAATGCGCGGCGACGTGAAGGATCTTGTTTGTTTAGCGAATTAACGCTGCGCGCTAGTAAAGTTAATCCGCGACAAGAGGATTTTTTTTTCACAGAGAGACCGCGGCTTTTAAGAGCGCCGTAAAATTACGATGCAGAGGCGCTTTGAAGTTGTTTACTTTACCAGGCAGTCATTAATTGACTTTTTGCGTGTTCGCATGTTCCACAACGTGTATCCACGGCCAAATGCTCGTCCTCGCCAAAGTAGAAAAATCCCGCTCCGTAACGCGCCCCTGCTCCTCAGTGTACCTGCCGTTCACAAAAATCTCTACTTCCCGTTCAATATCGGCTACTGTCCTATTCGAATTAGTCCGGAATTCCTTTCATACGACTCTTCGCGAAGTTCTACTCCGTCAAGTGCATCGTACGCCGTATCGATGGAAATTCACGTTCGGTCGCAATACTGGCGGCAGCTCTACAATGTATATTTTTTTGTTGCTTCCGAATTATTATAATTTAATGCACCTATATTTCTGAACATGACTTTACAAATTATTAAATACATACTACGGGCATCTGTCTTTTGGGTACATCCGTTTACATTTCGAGATGCGTCTAAATAAAAACTTGTTTTCTCATCAATGTAAATAATATGTAAAAAGAGCCTAGTGTAACAAGTTTTATTATTAATATAGGAGTTGCGAGCGTATTACAAGCACATGAGGTTTGTTTCAAAGATTGCTCGAAGAAGTTTAGCTAATGTAATTCGACGCCGCAAATCAATGAGACATTCGCATTTGTGGTATCACGACGTCACGATATCATGATGTCATCGTTCTTCCATCACTAAGAAACAACCAAGAGATTATCAGTTTCACTTTCTCTTCTCCCTCTGTACATGTCCATCTGTCTTATCCAACTCCAAGTAACCCCGTCGAACAGTACCTATGACATACGATCGTAATCGGAGGAGAACCAGCGACCGTTTGAACAATCGCCTCACCCATTATCCTGAGCTGCCCCCTCAACAACCGTATGACCTCCTCTCTCTCTTTGTCTCTCTCTGTGTCTCTCTCTGTCTCTCTCTCTCTGTCTGACTTTTGTGCCCCCGACCCTGCCAAGCCAGCCAGCCCCCAGCCTATAGCCCCCAAACCCCCTTTGCCCACATAGATAGAGTGCCATGCCATGCGTGTTCGCTCTTGCTGTAGGTATGTCGCGAGTTTCAACGTGGGGCGTGCAAACGCGGCGAGACGGAGTGCCGGTTTGCGCACCCCCTCGAGACGGTGCAGGCGAACGAGGACGGCTCTGTGACGGTCTGCATGGACGCTGTCAAGGGCCGATGCAATCGGGACCCCTGCCGCTATTTCCACCCCCCTCTGCACCTTCAAGCCCACATTAAGGCCGCACAATCTCGGGCTAGCATTGCGGTAATGCATTCTCTCTCTCTCTCTCTCTCTCTCTCTGCCCTTTTCTTTTCGTCTTTTCTTTACTACTTTCATTTCTCACTTTTTCTTGATACATTAACTCACGACTATTTCATTTTCGTTATTCCTAAATTCTTGTTTATTTCCCCCACTTTTTGATTGCGCTTTTGTTCTGTCCTTTCCAAATATTTCTCCTAATCTAATGAGACTAATTTGAGTACACCTCGTCCTGGCATTTACCCTTTTACGTGGTAAACGAAGCTCACACTATCTTGCTTTTCAGATCCTCCCTGAGTCTTTAGACGATACAGAGGACTTCCCTCTTGTTTTTCTTCATCACATATCCAAACTGTCCGTTCCGTTTTTATTTCTCCATCTTAATCGTCGGTGTGTTGCGACAGAACTTAATTTTATTGTACAGATAGAATACAGCGTACCAAATAAGAGCGAGATATCAATTTGACATAATCCAGGAAAATACTTCGTGATGTCGCACGGTTTCTGGCGTCAAAACACCGACGCTGTGTCAGCGATTGTCCCATTAAACAAAATATCAGTATGAATATAAATGGTTTTATAAAACCAGCTAATTTTTGTGACAGAATTTATTTTACAGAAATGTTGACAGCGAAATGTTATTTAGATTTACGCATTATGTTGACGTAGAAAAAATGAAAATGTAGTACGTATGAAAAGCCGTTTTTATATTATACATTTATTTTTACTACAGTACAGCTCTGTTACGACATTATAAAAATTCTTCATGTTAATGGGTCAACCGAGGACACTAATAATCTTTTTTCCCTTTCTACTTTCTTCTTTTTCTGCCTTTCTGCCTCTTTCCAGCCTCGACCTCGCAGATCGTTCCATGTGGCGTGTGCTTCATGCAAGTGTGTCGTCTCTTTTTTCATTTTTTTTTAATTATCTCTCCGCTGAAAATTGGTCGATGTCAAAAAAGGGTAAAGTAGCGCCCGATGCTCTATCCTTTTCACTGTTGGGCTGCGATAATAAAGTACAGTGGCGTGGATGTCGCTTGTCGTGAAGAGAAAATGACGGAGACGTGTATCGCGGTTTCACCGTGTCGTTGCAATGCATCTCTATCGTAAAGTTATTTGTCAAATCTCTGCCGTAAAGTGTGGATACTTTGTGACTCGGAGTGAAGTAATTAATTATATCACGTTATCTTATTTGAAAGAATGTACATTAATTAAATATTATCCCGAGCGGGGCGTGATATAAATAGCGTTTCACATTGATTCGGTACATCGTACTTAAAGAACCATTATTATTATAGTTATCGAAATGGGATAAATTAACTTAAGTAAACTATTAAATATGTTTCATACCAATTCTTATTATTTCATTATTTGCCGTTGGTTATAAATTTTACGGGATATTACATTACGTTAAATTTATATTTAGTATGTTAAACGAGAACGTCGTTGAAGAATATTGCAGTCACAAGCATTCCACACTTTAACAAATAATCGGAAACTATAAGTGCCAAAAAAAAGAGGAGAATACATTGCGCTTCCGCCTAACAAGCTTGGGAAGAGAAATTGCTCCATTTTTTCTTTTTCTTTTTCACTCGTAATTTCTTGATCGCTTTGGCTCCAATTGTACTCTCACATCGTTGATCTTCACTTTCTTTCTACCTCCCGTATATCGCTTGGGTATCATTATGATTATATCACGGTCCCACTGTACTTTTTTCTCTCAAGAAAAACGCCTGAACGAACGAAAATTCGAAAGTTTTGAGAAATCGGACGGGTAAAGTAGAATATCGATACGCTTCTCGCGATACTCTCGGAAAGTCTTTTGTGCAGGCCGAGGATGTCGCCCGCGGAGAACAAAAGACTCGAAGTGCACGCATGTTCCCCTCGATCGCACATTGTTCCCTCTCCCTCCTACACTTCAACCCCTGTTTTCTTCCCATCTCGTTTCTCCTCTATCCCTGAAACTGTAGTTCCCTTTCTCTTACTCTTTGTCTCACAATCGCTCTCTCTCTCTCTCTCTTTCTTTCTCTCTTCTTTCTTTCATGTTTATCATCACCCTCCCTTTCAGTTTCCTAGTTTTGCGTCAAAAGAAGCTTTTCGTTGCTGCGCTGCTTTTCGCCAATCTACATCGAGTATGTACGCTGTCGGTCTTCTCCCTTGATAGCAATAGTCCCTTTACGTGCTTCACACGCCATTGAACACGTATCGAGTTCTATGTAATGCCGATCTATATCACGGATATTTATACACACGATATCATCGCGCGCGAGGGTAGATTAAGATGGAGCAATAATATTGGCCAATTGTTGCGCAGTGCTAGAATTATATGATAGTTGTGTTAGGAGTACGATGAACCTTTACCGTTTAATATTTAATAACATCCGTTCATTTAATATTCCCTATCGTTCAATATTTAACACATCTGTCATGCAAATTACATTGTGGATTATTAATTAAATTTAATTAAAAGTCATCACGGTGAACACTAAAATGACCGTACATATGACATCATGTGAAACAATGTTTTCACTTATATCTAATTATTTTCTTTTGCATTTGTCCATTTAATTTACATTTCACTTTTCTGAAAATGTAAAAAAGAAAAACTAGTTGGAGCGTGACATCGTCTCCTATACAACTACCATAGAGATATTTATTTCGACATCTTTCCCCTTACCTTAGAATTGTCCCATTTCTTTCCCGATCTTCCTACAGTTACTTTTTCTTTATCATTTGATTTCTTTCCAACGATCGTATAAGTCTCGTCCCATGTTTGTCGCTTTTGTGTTCGTCCATATTTTACATCTCCTGTATGATGTTCAGCCGTTTCTGTAGTGTGTAGTGAGTAGTACACGAGGCAAAATTCTTGTTAACATCACCAAAACACCACTGTTCTATTTCTCTCTTTCTAGCAGCCTATCGCAGCTATCCAGGTGCAAAGAACTAGTTGCAATACACCAATCACCTGTTCGGTACTTAGGTCATAATAATTACAGATACTTTTGCAGCTATGTGCACGCTCCATTTCCTTTCGATATAAAAAAAGATACGGTTGAAGATTTATTTTTTGTACTATTGCTAAATTAATATATCGCTTTACATGTCCAAGTTAATATACACCATTAGTACGTTATAGTATTTTTAAGTAGTAATTTTACTAGTTAATTATGCACAAGAAGATCATTCGAAATTATGCAATTTATGAGGAGTCTTATTGTGCAATGTTCAATATAGTTAAACATTATTCGTATACGAACCATGTAGAATTTACACGTGCTTCGAAACATTTCCCGATCCAATGGGATTGAAATGAAGGAGAAATAGAAGTGGAAATGGAACGTGGTCACGTTTTTGTAAATAAGAGTAGTTGAGAAAAGATATCTCTTACGAATGACACGTACACCACCCTGCTGACAAGCTGTGCTGCACGAAACCCGGCTATCAACCCCGCTGCTGTTTTTGCTGCCCCACACAAAAACGCTACACTAAGAGTCCCCGAAAGATACGTCTATACATAGAAGACAGTGAAAAAAAAAACCCAGTAGAAGGAACGAATAGATACGACGGGTTTGTTGGGAGGTGTGTGGGCCAGGCGATAAAATGTCTTTGTCCACTTCCGTTGTCAAATCTGTCTCTTAATTCTCGCAGTCGCGTGCGATCGCGGTAACGTTAGCGTCAAGCGCACGAGAGGATCATGCAACAATCGCAGCCACGAAATTACGCGAGGAATTGTCAGCGGCGTGCTCGCTCTCTCGCGATCAAACAGGATCTAAAAGGAGATCGTTCCTCCGTCGTTGTCCTTCGACCGCTCTGGAAGAGTCACGCGTAGGGTCGATCGAACGTCCCTCTCCGCTGTCGTCTAATTATCCTTATTATTGTCTCGAGTAAAGGACGATTAATCGCAGTCCTGAAAATTCGGTCGGAGGTTAACGATTTGATTAACGTAGTTCGCTCCGGTTGACGAACGGCTGATCGGATCAGGGTCACTTTTGCGAAAACGTGCTTGGTGCAAAGTGCGACTGTGTGGACGGCGGCCGTCCCGAAGTCATTACGTATTTGCAAACAGCGCGGGGGGGTGGACGTACCCCGTTTCCTGCAGACTCAATCATCGTGTTTTCGAACCGCGAACTTGTCTTCGGGACACGATCGTGTTCATTATCCGGGGGATAAAAAAAAGCAAGTCGGTAGAGTAACGGCTAGAGAAAAATGAAAGCACGAGTAAAAGAGAGAGAAAGAGCGAGAAAGACTTTCAGCGACGTCGCGCGGAAGACCTGCAGCCACACCCGGACACAACGGAGGAAAAGTCTCACATGGATGATTGCGGCAGACCAGCTTGTTGGCAGGGAAGTCTCATTCTCTAAAAGTGGTTTTCAATTTCCCAAGGGTGCATACCGCGTACCGACGGAATCACCTCCGTCCGAATTTGCCTCGGGGGTTACGGACCGACGTGGATCTCTTAGAGAACGAAACCCGACCGCGGTACGAGGGGGGGAAATGTTTGTTTTACCAGTTCTTTCCGCTTTATTCCCTTTCTCAGATGGCCCGTCGATGGCTCGACGTCTCGCGAGAAAATTCGGAACGGGCAGCTTTGCTTTTTAATCTTCAAATTCGATACAGTTTTCCACACACACAGACTCTTAAAGATCTATGAAATTAATAATCCCGCGATTAAAAGAGTAGCATTATACATCGTAAAAATATAATAACAATCGTTATTCGGTAATGCGTTGCATTTTGCTAAAGAATGAACTCATACGACAGAGGATCGTCCGTCATTTCAATTGGTACAAATATCGGGTTTGGAAATTCTTTCGATTTGAAATATGTTAACTATGCCTTACGATGCCACAATGAATTCTGTAATTAACCTCGACTGTCCGATGCCAACGAGGGCCACGCTGAATCGCATCGTCGCGACGTGATGCACTCTTCGGAATTGGTATGCCATACCTGAATGTTTGTCAAGTGTACGACATGAAGTTCCCGAGCACGTAAGAGTTGCGTATCTACCACCGAGACCGCACACGTGCGCGGGCTGCGCAGGCTCGCGCATTCTCGATCTGTACAGAACAAAATCATTGTCGCACATGTAAATATACACGCGCATGTACATACCGTCACTCACACGTACACGCACACACACACACACACATACACACATGCAGACACACACTATACAAACATGTACCAGAAATGTGATATCACGACACACCGTTATCCTGTTCCTTAAAGAAGATGCCGACGACAACAGCGAGTTCTCGAACACAAGAAGATTCGAACAAGAGAACACCGTTCGCTTGGACGCTCGCGAGAGATGGTGTAAATTTATTGACCAACTAAATCAATGTCTCTTTCGTAAATTTTTCAGGTATTGTAAAGATAGAAAGACGAGAACCTAGGAGGGTCCTAAGAGACGACCCTCCTCTTTTGCTTCACTCATAGTCTCTTGCACGCATTTCTCTGTATCTTTTCCAACTTTTATGTGTATATATACATACATATGTGTGTGTATGTATATATATATATTTATAATTTTATCTCTCTCTTTCTCTCTCTCTCTCTCTCTCTCTCTCTCTCTCTCTCTCTTTCTCTCTCGATCGCCCTATGTCCCGCAAGGGAGGCGTCGAAAGGGAAGAGCGAATGGTGACCGGAAAAAAAAACGAGAGAGAAAAGTGGAGCGAGAAGCCAAAGAGTCACATCACATACGTGCGCGCTCGCGCGCGCGCACGTGTGTGTGTGTGTGTATATGTATGTATGTATATCTTGTACATGAATTTCCACGCGCAAATTTAGATTATAAGAGGCAGAGACGCAAAACTAATCAACTTGGAGAGAGTGCCTCGATTATTGCAGGTGTTGCAGCAGTCAGAAACGCCAGCCGAAAGCCCGATGGACGATGAAGTGGGACCGGTTCTCTTTCGTACCACGCGTCCCTCTATCTACGTGCCCTTTCCTACGCTCTATTATTCGATTCTGATTTTCCAATATTTATTAAAATTTGCGCTTTTCTTTTAGTCACCATAGAATCGTGCTCCGCCACATAGATGTGTCACTTCTCTGTCTGCCTCTCTCTCTCTCCTTAATATCGATCAAATAACGAATTAGTGCCAATTAGCCCGCAGATTGACGCTGACGCCAGCTACGTCCGTTGGTCCTATCTAACGTGCTATTATTATTGATTATCATTATTAGTATTATTATCATCATCGGCATTATTATATTATTATTGCCATTACTCTATTAATCGGTGATGTTTATACTCGTGTTTGTCTCGTAGGAATTTGCGTTCCGTGAAATCGTCGCGTTGCTACATGCATTTCAAATGAGCGACGCGATAGAAGGCCGATAAACGCGGTACCGGAAACGGGGAAGAACGCGTTATTTGCCTCAGACTACGCGTGTGCCAGGAGAGCTCTCTCGACTTGCCGATAATTCAAAGTTCATCGTGCTTTGATACAAAATGCGTATCTCTCTAAATTTTTCCAAATAATGTAACGGCTAACCAGGCTCACGGTCGTTGTCACACGCCCCGCGTTTATCGGACACGGAAGTCTGCGATCGCGCGTCGGATTCCATGTTATTCGAGACGCGTAAAGTTCGCACGTGAAGATCTGCATCCGATTAATTTTTGCACTTTTATTTCTCCAAATTTCTTCGAACTCTTCTGCACCGAGTCCCCGAAAGCCGAGCAGAGAATTTAAATTGTGGAAAAAGGGGGGGGGAGGGGAAGACTATACAATTAGATGATAGGCGATCGAGTGGCGCGATAGACGGGGGCATTTACGTAACTCGGGATGCACGTGCGAGTAACTCGAGCGGTGTATTTATACCCGGCGGGTATTACGCACCGGGGGGACGTATCGTCTTACGCGCGATCGCACGAGCTCACGCAAAAATTATTGTAAATCCCGTGCGTGTATGCGTGTGGCGCGTGTGGCGCGTGTGCGTGTGCACGCGCGTCGGCTCGACGAAGAACGGCGCGATAAGCGCGATAACGTGTACCTCGCGAATTTGCAACCGCGGGACAACGGATCTGCACGCACTCGCGCGCGCGCGCGCGCGCACTTACACGCGTGCACACATACACACACGCGCAAGAGAGAGTACATGTTCTTTCTTTTTTTTCTCTTACATAAGTCAAAAAGAATATATCGCGACTGTCGTTTCTTGCTCAAGCCTCAACTGGTCTGTTTTTCTTTTTTTGATTTTTATCTTGCCCTCTTCCGCCTGACGATGCTTCTACATGCTTGCTGACAATACCTTCGTGCGCTTCGCTACCTGCCAATTAACGCCTGCGAAATATTGTCGACCGAAATTCGGGGGAAAAAAACACACTGTACCAACGCAAATAATAAAAACCAACGTAAATAATATGCACGATCGACCGACGCCCACCGCAACGCATGTGCCCGGAAACACGGAAAAAAATCGTATATGCCACCATCGCTACGACCGCCGCAACGATACAACAAAATATGTATAAATATGCTAACACACGAAAAATGTCTCGATTGGGAAATGTCTCGGGAATGCCGAAACGGAAACGGATGTGGTCGACGCATGGCGACGCACGGCGAAACTGCGTATGCGACTGTAAAAACCTGAAATCTGTGTACACGCATAAAACACTCATAAAAAAAAAACGAACGTGGAATCGGAAAAATCGAACGAACGTGTGAAAATGAAAATGAAAAAAAAAAACACCAAAAATATAAATGCGGAACGAAACGATACGAAAAAAAAAAACGCAGACGATGCCGACGAACGTGACGGGAATGGGTACGTTGGCTGGCGGAGTATCAGGAGTGCCGGCAACTGCGATGCCCGGAGGACTTCAGAGCGCCGGTATGGCGAGCATCGAGCTCGGCAAGAAGCGGATGCGCGACTCCAATGATGATCTGCTAATGGTACCACGGCTTATGCATGGAGTACACTTTCCTTTTTTTTTCCCCCGTAGCTGGACCTCGGTAAAAATGGCCTGGACGTGATTCTCGCGTATATCTTTCAAAATTTTCTGAAAAAAGAAAGGAGCTATCGTTACGCCAGCAAGAAATCAACCGATAGATTTGCCATACAAGTCACATTAACGTTATTTTGAATACATACTGCGCGTTAGGAACATTGGCTGCATTAGTTAGCTTTGTCGAGTCGCGGTATCGGCAGATTTTTATTTCAACATCGGTGACCTAAGGACGCGAGAAATTAATCGCTGGCAGTCATATAATCTCAATCTCGTAGCGTTTCGAATTGCTGTTTGCTCGCGCTCAATCGGAGAAACTTCGCAAACGAGCAGGTTTAAGCGCGCGTTCTCGGTCGTAAATGTAATCGACCTCGCTTCTATGAGCGACGTCGCGGAGTTTGCGGTGAAGTTCGGGCGACCGCGACGAGACGGTTCCAGGCCATTTTCCGGAGATCCCACGTAGTCGTATCTTTAAGTTATGAGTACAGTTATTGCGATTGTGAATACACTGCCGAGCGCGCTTAGAGCTCTAGCTCCTGTCTTCCATTTTTATTTCTAACAAGAGTCCCGCTATTTCTCTATCAGCCAGAAGGAGACGTGGAACGTCTTCCACGGTGAGACCTCGCAGCCGACGCGTGTAAATCTAACGATACGAGAACGTCGCGTTTGTACCGGCGACGGTGCCGCGATTGAAGCGTATATACCGGAATACCAATAACGTCACACACGGTGCCATAACTGAAACCTCTATGAGCCTAGAGACGCCACGTATGGCGTCATTATTGAAACCCCTCTGACGCCGGGCACCGTCATGTAGAATATTACCATAGAAACCTTCGCGATACCGATGGCGTCACGTACGGGCGTCATGATTGAAGCCCTCGCGACGCGACGCGATAAACAATCGCGGTGATAAAGGGAAGAACTCGCTTGAAAATTCGGCGATATTAACAAAACGTCACGTACGGTTTCGCGCAGTGGGGTCGTTCCTAGTTGACCTTTAGAGGGCCGGACTGGCCACTGTGGTGGCCGGGAGCAAACTTGAAAACTTTGCGGCACATGTAGATTACATATATGTATGAATTTTCTGTTTACAAAATTACAAATTTTAATGGAAAAATGCCGGCCCTCTACAGGTTAAAGCGGTTCTCCAAAACCCGCGTGACTCTTTACAGCATCCGAGTCGTCTACCGCTCGTATCACGAACTCGTGTTCCACTCTCGTATCGTTCTCATTGTACACGCTGTCGCGTCTATCCGGCTTCTATCCGGAGAGAATCGCGTAAGAAATTCTAGAGACTCTATCCTTTTTTTTTCTCTTGGTTTCGCTTTCCACTGTCGTTCGTTGCAATGTTGTTCGTACCAGAGCTTACGCCTCGTAATGTATTTATAGATCGCTTACAACTTTTTTTTCTCGATCGTTAGCCACGCGTTTGAATCGTCATATGCCGAACACGGGAGAGATTTACGTCTCTGCGAGGGGACGTGCATATTCCGTCACAAGTCGTGTTCATGCCGAGGCACATTGAGCGTGGCTAGCGACTACCGTATATGATTTAACATACATTTACCCCTTGGCGATTCCCCGACCGACGATAGCGGATTCGCGATTGCGCTCTTCGTCGCGGTCGCCGTCCGCTCTCGTTAGTCGCGCTTACATTTCGAGACACGCACGCACTATTGAGACACTCGAGTCAAGATTCGAATTGGTTGCAGATGATATACACTTTTTAATCCTTTAACAAAATTTGGCAAAATTTATGTGCCCGCGGAACATGATATCTCGATATTCGTTTTCATTTGAGCGTATGAAAAGTGTTTTGTACAGTATGTTTATTCGTACTATGGATAATTGGTTACTTGTTTTAATCAAAATTTCACCCGGCGCTCTTAAACCGCCGGAGTTACGTTGGCGACTGAAGAGAATGAAAGCGCGACAATGTGATTTCTCGTTAAATTTTCGTTATGGAAGGATTCATCGAACCATAGCCATACTGGAATGAGCACTGCCTTTGCCAAGCGGTCAGAGAGAGAGAGAGAGAGACACTTAAGCTGGGACCATGTTGTCCTTTTTTAACTTCTGCGGCTAAAGTGACGTCACGTGAATCGCTGTAGTTAGTCAAGGATATCACGGTCCCGGCTCAACTATCCCTCTCACCCAGCTCCGACCGCACGAAAACAAAGGAGTGCTCCTCCCAGTATGTTCATGGTCCAATGGGAAAAATTGACCGATCGAAAAGTCTCGATGGGATTAGAGAACCCAAGACCCTCGGTCGACGTTAAAGGATTAACGAAACGGAGTAAATGAATCGCGAAGGACGCGAATGCATTGATACGGAAGTGCGCGCGTGCTTCGATGCGAGCTCGGTAAGGCTGGTTCTACATTGGTCGTGTCGTAGTGTCGCAAGTGTCGTAGACTGGTTCTAATTCAACGCTGATAGGTCGAATTTATAATTTGCGACGCTTGCGATGACACGATACGACCAATGTAGAACCGACCTGAGGAAACCGTCGACTCTAATCTCCGTACGTCAAGATTCCCCCCCGCTCGCGAAATGAACGACGGCGAATGAAAGAGAGTAAAGAGGACGAGTCGTGAGGCCCTCGAGGGAGGCTTCGCGGTATGCCGCGAGTCCCGCATACCGCGGTGCTGCCTACGTCTACGGAGCGTTAGATCTGTGTAAATTCTGAGCTTGCGCCGATGATGCATGTTGTGCTTAAGCGACTACCGAGGTGATGGTGGACATAACGTCATCCCCTCGACGCTCTGGACGATGACCAAGATTTCTCGGCAGTTGTTGTCGCGGAGGATCGTCGAGCCCACATCGCCGCGACGCGTTTCGGGACATCGAGACACGCCGTCCGCGCGACGGCCTCCCTTATCCTCGTTAGAGTCACGTGTCGAGTCTGCTAAAGAGCACTGTAGATCGCTTACATACACTCGCTACTTTTTTAAATACTATCTTCTTTCTTTTTTTACTTCTGTATTTATATATATATATCACATATATATCTCGCTCTTTCTCTCTATCTCTCCGTCGCTAATGCTGTCAGTCAGCGATCTGAAGCGCGATCGACAGATTCGTTCGGGTCTGAGACGTAATTTTATCCATGTGCAACTTTCTTACCTCGAAGAGCGCCAGGACGAAAATGGATTTTCGCTGTACAAATAGAGGCTTCCTCCGGAAAGCCGCGCATAACTTCTCGGTATTTTCGGTACGTGAGTTTTCAATACGCGAAGAGAAAGAAGAAGTGCCCGCATAGAATCCATATAAATTCATAAGAATGCAAACTCTTGTTGCGGAAACGTATCAATATTCCGGAACAAAAATTTTCAAACGTGATAATATCGAGGCGGCCGAATGTGGATGGATTTTCACTGTACGCATACGAGATGTATCGTAAGATATGAGAATTACGGGTTTTCCTTGGTTTGAATTCCAGTTTTCTGACTGTAGTGCACAAGGGCGAGGAAGAAAAAATTTTGTTTAACAAACTTTACGTGAATTTTACTAAGGCCCGATTTACACGCGCGTTATTCAATTAGATGGACACTTATGTTGAATTGTGAAAAGTTATAAGACGTCAAATTGATTAGCGCCATTTCTAAATTGATTTAAAAAGCGCCTTTGTTTTCCTCTTCTTCCCCTCTACTCTTAATATTCTCAGCAAGGGGGTAACCACTTCATGTAATCGTGGGACAGTGTCTCCAAACTTACAAATATAAAATTACTTTTTGTTAAGACCACGGTTAGACTAGTGGGAAAAGTGGGAAGCAAGGAAACACGTAACCGAATACTGGAATCTTAACTGAAATTACCTCTACAAGTAAATAGTTCTTAGTAAAATAAGAAAAATATATTTTGAGGAAATCTAACGGCTCTTTGAGGTTTAACAACGTTATATATTTTTAAACGTGCGTATAAGAAAATTATTTGCAATTGGATGAGATTATTTGTAATCGGATGAAATCAAATGAAATTGTGTAATCGGTGGGACAACATTTGAGCTAGTGGTTACCCCCTTGATCCTCAGTCAATGTGTGATCGGAGAGGCAAAAAATTGGGTGTAAAGTTGTGCTACAGCGATACATCGATACATCTTCGGGAGTCTTAGTGGACAGCAGCGCTCAATACGAATGATAAAGAGCTGAAAGCCACGTTACCTCGTCAAATAGCGCCGGTTGCACATTCTCGAGCAGACAAAACGCAGTGTGACGCTGATTCGCTTTCGCGCACACGCTTACTGGCGGCCGTTGGTTTGCAATTACGTTTATCCTCTGCGTTTAGTCGCGAAGCGCATACGGCGAGTTCGGAGTCGTTCGCGGCGCAATCGGGTGGTAAAGTCGGTTATTGAAAATCGTATCCGTGCGTCGTTACGCGACTCCGAGTCCTTCGTTGGTGAGCAAACCGCGGGAACCCACGTGTTAACACGCATATACATATATGTATGTATCTGTGCCGCTGCGACAATACGCGCGTTTCACCCCGGCCACTTTTTTATTATAAGTCAGCTTCTGAGCTTTTGCATCTCGTCTACCGCAGCTTCTAACTCGAACGTGTTTTACACCTCGATAGAGATTGATTTGATTTGGCTTGCCCTCCCCCCTCTTTGTTGCGCACGCGTCTGTCTGTCACTCGCAGACGACTTACCAAAGTGTCCGCTCACCAAAGTATCACCGCAAGCCTTACCAGCTTTCCGTGAATCCGTGTTGTGCAACTTTCGCATCACGTCGGTATCGCGAAGCCTTTTTGTTCTCCGAGCCAAAGCCCAATTGCGCCTATTTTTTTTTTTTTTATTAATATCTCTTGTCGATCTCTTGCTCTTTCTTTATCCTCTCTCTCTTTCTCTATCTCTCTTTCTCTTTACGTCTTTCTCTTCATTCTCTCCGTTTTGCTCGCAAAGGGAGGAAAGATTCATTTGTCTTCGCATTTATCTCGCGGAAATGGACGAAACGCTTTCAGATTCTCGGGCATTAGCATCGACACTCTGTTACAGCGCGATTCCTGCTTCTTCGCTCTCGCAATAGTCTTAATAGGAAGGCGACAGTGCAGTTTTTTTCCGATCGGTACTTTGATCGTTCATTAATGTAAGGCGACGGTCTCTTTTTAATCGAGCCGCGCACGGTTCTTGATATATATATATATATAACAATGGCTGGTCTTTCTGACACGCTCCCAGTAGTAGAAAACAGAGGAAAAGTGCAAAAGAAAGAAAGAAAGAAAGAAAGAACGAACGAAACATTTTGCAGTTATCCAACAACGAAACGTCGTCGTTTGGGAACGTCGCCGCAAGCTGCGTCATCGGCACAACTTTTACACACTACCACAGTCCAACTACCCTTCTCCACCGCGTCGCCGTCTACCCCTTCCCCTCCTCGTTTCTTTGAGACACGACCCTCTCTCGTTTCCCGTCTCGAAAATCCAATTATACAGACGCAACGCGCCTCGTCCTCGAAATTAGTTGAAACCGATCCTGTCTTTGTTGCAGATGGACATGAAGTCTGTCGGGTCGTTCTACTACGAGAACTTTGTAAGTGCAGAACCTAAACATTGAATCATAATTCTCATACAGCTGTGATCCATTTTTTTCGCGCTCGTCTCACTCCGTTCGTACTCGCGGTTAACATACGATCTCCTCCCCCGCCCCATTCAGGGGAGGTTACTCTTTTGTCTAGGAAATTTTTTATCTTTTCCAGCGAGATGTAAAATAATTCCACTGACAAAATTCCTTTTGAATTATCGTTAAATTCGCAAGCGTTTGAAAGTGGAGCATTGTCGATCTAGCGGGATGGCAGCGAGTGTTTCTTTGTAAATCAGTGATAATATCGCCGAGATGCAGATGCGCGGATTCCTCCCGGCTGCGACGTAATCGCTGTTTTGCAAAGAAGACGAAAGAATCGCTGTAACAGTATCGCATCGATATCGACTCATGTTAAAATACTAATCTGTCACGAATTACGATTGTGTTGGGCGAAAGAGGTCGGCCTCTCGACCTCGTCGTGGAAAACGTCAAACCCGACGTCCCCTGCACGGCTGGATCAAGAAAACTCATGAGCACGCAAAAGAGAACAATATATCATATCCCCGAAAGGCCGAAACGGAGTCGAGGCTTTCATGGGGGAAGCTTCCGCTCGAGTGGCCACGCCGCTCGCGTCACGAGCCCGTTCTAATCGCGTATCTCTTTGCAATTCTTTTTGCAGGGCTTCCCAGGAATGGTTCCGTATAAACGACCGGCGGCCGACAAGTCCGGCGTGCCGGTCTATCAGCCTACCGGGACGACCTATCAGCAGTTAATGCAGCTGCAGCAGCCCTTCGTGCCTGTGTCATGTGAGTACACTGGAACACCACCCCTACCCACCCAAACCTCTAACCAATCGGTCGTGCAACCCCCGAACGTGCAAAGCAACCATCACGCGATGGTGGTGCAATCCTCCTCCTCCCAGGGAGCCGCTGGCGCCACAGTCAATAACTGCGCCGACGCCAACAATGGCGTGCTGATGGATCCCTGCAACAATCCGCCACCGCCACCTCCGACCGCTGACAATAACAGTAACAATAGTAACGGCAGTAACAAGCAGCCGGTCACCACGCAGAATCACGATGTCGAAAATGCGCGTAACTCCCCCGAATTGAATCACTCGAGTCCCACGTCGCTGCAGCAGCAGCAACAGCAGCAGCAACAGCAGCAGCAGCAGCAGCAGGTGCAGGTTCAGCAACACCACCACCAGCAGCAGCAGCTTAATCAGCTGGCGTTGCCACCTGCGATGAGTCCGTTAACCTCGATGGCCGGGCTGACCTCGATGCCCGGCGTGGTGAACATGGCCTCGATGGCCTCCATGGTCTCCATGGCGAATATGTCGCCGATAACGAATATGACCTCCATGAGCAATTATAACTCCAACATGGCGAATCTGAACATGCTCAACAGTCTCGGCATGGCCTCCGGGTTATCAGGCCATCTCGATCCGGCGGCTCTCGCCAAAGAGGTCGCCCAGAAAAACTACGCTAAAGCCATCAAGCTCTCGCAAGCCTCCCAGTCTTACGGCATCGGCCAGCTCGCCGCGCTTAATTACACCGGCGTCGCTCTGAACAAGCAGAACCTCATGAATCCCGCGGCCGCCGGGAATCCCGCGGTGGCGACAGCCGGTCTGCAAGCCACCGCGACTTCCAGACCGATGATCCCGAGCCTGGCCGGTATCCCGGGCGCCCTGACCTCACCGCTGTCCGCGGGTATCTTGGCGTACTCCAGACCGCCGCCCACAGCTACCTCCATAAATCCATATTCCCTGATCAGGCAGCAGATCTTGCCGAACCCATATGTCCAGTCCCATATACCGGGCGCCGCAGCCGTACAGACCTCACCTTACGTCCAGAATCCGTATGCCGTTCTACCTGGAGTAGCCAGCGTACCCGGGGTAGCGGCCGCCGCTGCGGCTGCGGGTGTACCGCAGATGCCGCAGATGGGCAATCCGGCGACGATAGCGGCGCAGCCGCAGGTAGGGATCCCCGTGAGCTCCGCGGTGATTATGCAACCGTACAAGAAGATGAAGACGTCGTAAGGACGCCCTTGCCTGCCGGCTCGGGAGGACTCGTCTCCTCTCACGGTGCCGCTCCTTCCTCCTCGGGCACCTTCCATTCTCTCCCTCGCGGGAACGAGCGAACGATTCCGCGATAGTCGCTACGGATGATGATCGCCGCTACCGATCCGCGGTAGCCGGCATATTTTAGATAATTCTAGAGTATCTCTTTACGATTAGCGTTCAATTGCGGAGACGAATGACGGACCGTAACAATTATTACGCTCCGGATAGACTTTTGCGCAATTGTATTTTCGTAGTTTCGTAGTTTCAGTCTCAGTAAGATTGATACAAACGGTTAATCGCGTTTAGATATAATAGCGTTCGTCGAAAATACAAAGATTAATAAAGTACATCAAATCTATATAAAATTGAGCTAAATGAATATTTGATATGTTAGTTTACAATAACTCTGTGGAAATTAGTACTAGGATGTTATACTTTTCGGCATAAATTACATAGTGGAGATTAAGTGGAGATGGTGAACTTCTTGTCATTCGTTGTTGTTTAATTCTTCTATATTTTGCTGATAAAAATGTTTTAAAAAGAGAGAGGGGGGAGAAAGAGAGTATATAATATATACGTTCTTTACGCCATGTACAAAATATCGAATTGCAATTTCTTAGCTTTAATTTTGTTCGATATTATGAAAAAAGAAATCACGTATTTAAATGTTCGACTACATCGACTACATCGATGGAACGAAAAATGTAGAAAGACAAAAGTGCAGTCCTAAGATATTAATCTCCATCGCCGGTGCTCAAGAAGCGAGAAATCGGTCTTCGTTCGCGGGAGGGACAGAATATCCAATTGCGAGACGAGAGATGCTGATAAAAAAACAAGTTCCGAAAATAGATTCATTTTCTAGTCAGACATTGTCGGTGAACAGTGCCTTATTGACCCAATTCCATTTGAAGCGTTATAAGCGTACAACTGCAGAAGAGAATGATAAACGACGCGAGCAAGTAGACGGGATTTTTTCCCCGTCGCATTGCCCGCTCACTTAAATGACTGAGGGAGACGTGACTACCGTTCTGATCTTATTTCTGTCGAAATAAACCTGAATTTCATTTCGACCGGAAATTCCGACTTGCCGGTGAAGACTGCGTTCGAGAGAAGGCGAGAGAGCTTGCGAAAACATTGAGCGTGGCCCAAGTCACGGATTACATTAATCACCTATTTTACTATTTGACTTTTTTTTTCCTAGAATAAATAGTGATTTGCGATATACTTGGTAGAGATAGTTTTCAACTTTGCCGATAATTAGCGTTGTTTTACCGTAGAGAACTGTTGAAAATGTTACGTGTCGTTACGTGGCTCCGTTTTGTTCTTTTAATAAGCTAAATTGTAAATAAGTCAATTTGCGCTGTGAGTACGGCGTTGCAATATTTTTATTTCGGAATTACACAAATTTTTGTTATAGCCATTCGTCCAAATTTTAACGTATAACGTCCGAAACAAGGAAGATGAAAACGACGCTCGGCCTATGTCACGTTATGTGCGATACTTGCCTTTAAGTCCATAGCGTTAATTAGCGTTCGCGGTTCGAGTTCTCGAGATAATTATTATCCAACGTTAGATTATTTTATTAGAGCACGGTTTGCTTGTTTACATATTGTAGTAATATGTTAAAAATTTTATTTTATTTGTTCATCTCGGAAGGAAGTTAAATAGTGTTAAATAAAAATAAGTCGCGCAAAGCACATCGGTTTTAACATTTTAGCGTTGCGTAGTGCATTCAGAGAACTGTTTTCTTCGTTATCACATGATAGATTTTGGATTATATACGAGGCTCATGCGTGATATTTGTTAATATTTAAAGAAAATTGTTTAAAAATCTTTTTATCGACCTGATCTTTTCTTTTGAGTTAGCTGTAAGATTATACATTGTATCTACATATGGCGACATATATTTCCTAAAAACACCTTGCACATCGACGAGTATCTATAAATTCGACTGGAAGATGCTACGCTTCCGGTAGGCCCTTACAATTAGTTGTCATGTAACATGCGTAGAATTTAGAATAGTTATTTGTTTTATACTTAGCGTATCTATATCTTTAGCGTAAGCGTGCTCGAACACAACGTACTCTTCTGTCCTTACGGATTCAATTCGGGGGAGTCTGTTGCACACAGTGAACTTGGTCAATTGCGACCTACGAGCTTATGCATTTAGCCGAATGAGACAAGTACGGAAAACTATTGGAGAACAAGAAGGAGGAACAGAGTGAGATAGAGAGAGAGAAAGGATCCGCGGGATACGCGGATGTCTTTATTGGAGGAAGAGAGAGGAGGGAGAGTAAAAAAAAGGTCGGTCCAACCTTGAAGGCGGTGAGACGGCAAGAGAGAACGTCTCGTCGATTGCCCCTCGAGGGTGGAAAGAAAACGAGTTCACATGCGCATCGTGGTACACGACCGCACAAACATTACACTTAAGACACTCACACGACTTACATAATAGACACACTACGTATATTTTTATTAATTCGCGCGTATAATGGTAAGAGAGAAAAGCGGTCGCGCGGTGTCGGCTGCGAGAGCGCAGCTCATAAATGCGAGGAAATTCGAGGGAAACGTATACGCACTGGCGTCCACTTTCCTCTCTTCCGCATGTCCGCGTTCACGTGTCTGCCAGTGATTTGAAAGTTTGTTTAAGTCCAGATGTATAGTTATAAACATATATGCATACATGCACAAGCATATGTATATATGCGTTTGTAAATAATTTCTTTTTATATACAGGACGAAATGACAAGATATTTGTCGTATGTGTTAAAGTTATATGTGCATATATATAATTAATAATGTTTGTGTACATATATAATTTATTTTAATATATGTCTAATACACATATATGAATATATAATATATGAATATATGATATATCTCTTACGCGATATCATACATATTAAATGTAATTATATATATACACATACATAAGAGCACACTCGCTGGCACGTATGGTGGAGAAGAAACGAAACGGCCGGTCGTATCATAATTTTCACGCGAAAGAAAAGAACAACCGAGCGAAAGAATTGTACGACGGTAGGAATTTGTGTACACGAAAACGCGGAAGAACAGAGCGAGGCGAGGTATTTCCGTGAATCCCGGCACGTATGCAAGTGAAATGTACTTTTATCGTCCCGTGTGTTGCGAAAAGTTCGCGATATACTTATCTTAAATTTCTTTCCCGTAAAAGTTTAGTTTTAATCCTGGCCCTGGTCGTGACGTGGCAAATTGCAATTGCTAAGAAATTTATTCGGATCACAACACCGTATCTCTCTGCTCTTGGCCCAAGAGCTCGAGATGTGGAAATGATTGGAGATTGAGAGCGCATTTTCCTCACAATTCCTTCGGTTCTTCCGCGGTATTAGAAACAACTTCTTCCAAAGGGTCATAAAATGTCACCTATGCCGAAAACGCACAAGATTGTAGAACGAGATTGTCTTACGATTCTAGACTAGCGATCTTTTAACAATAACGAATCGCAGACCAATTTATGGATAATTAAAACCATAAATTGACATAGACGGCACGTAATTTGTGAAAAGCAACACACATACATCATTCTTATAGATTTCGGAGAAAGTCTCTCGTTTGCCTACATATTTAACAAGTCGTTGCTTATCTTGAAATTTTTTTGACTTTACACATAATTGTATAAATGATGGACATGTAATTTGAAGATATTCGAATATCTTATTTCTATATGAATCACTTCGTAATAGATATCTTCCATGGTTTGATATTTTTTAAACGCTCGTAACTTGTACATTTCTAATCGACGAATTATTCTATAATTAACGTTTGCAACGTCGAATTTTATTCGCTCCGAGAAATGAATTTTTCTCGCAAGTCAGGGGCGTGGTCGGTAACATCGGAGTCAGAATCGAGAATTGTCAAGGGTTATCATGGGGTCTTCCATAACAAAACGCCACGCGAGGAAGCTCTGCGAGGCCAACGCCGTTTTGTACTCGTGACCAAGGGGATTTATCGAGACGCCTGTCCCAGAGGGAAGAAATTGTTTCTATCCTTACGATAAACGCGCGTGCGGCGGTCCTATGTGATAAATAAATTATGTATTACACTCATACGTACACACGTACACGCACACACTGTTCTCGCATGCGCGTGGCACTGGAGTTACGTAGTAAGATTTAGCCCTTTCGGTGCCTTGTATGGCGTCAACTTGGGACTCACGATCAGTACTTATGATGCCGCCGCGTCACGGTATCATGACGTGACGTCATCGGCGCTGAAGGGCCTCGAGAAGATGACGATATAACACGTTAATCCATAAGCAAAGTCCTAACGGCCTTGGACGAGCCGAGGATTCGGCGGTGACGCGCGATGAAGTTCCGTATTCGACTTAACGACAACTCTATAAGGTACAAGGATAGTGAGAGTCGATAGGATCGAGCCTCAGTAATACCGACTACGGAGACCGACACTTTTAGGGTTCCTGAAAACTTGAATGTCTACAAATTATATACGTACATTATTCGAGAGGGTGGCTGGTTTTTTTCACGTTCACACCGAAAACGCGGAATCGCGCTGCGGTCGGCCGGTCGCCGCATCGCCGTTGTTGCATCACATGTAGCAAAGCGTTTCCTTCGAACTGTGATTGTTTTATCACAGCGCTACCTACGTACTTCCACGAGAGGAATGTTCATTATATTTTACTAGACGCGAGAGTGTATTCTTTTAAAGGACTAAGTGTATTAGTGATAGGGTGTCTTGTGCGCGCGACGACACGCTGGAGGAGCGAGAGGCGCGATCCCGTGTTCTCGGTGTGACATCGGCAAAACAGCGGAAGTGCCTTCCCCTTGCACTCAATACACCATTGCACACAGAGAACACGTATACAACAAATGCCTACATTATTTAGACACGCGACGCAGAAGCGAAGCGCTACGATAAAGACGAAGAGGAAGAAAAAAAAGAAACTTACACGATATATAATTATATTTATATACCCTTATTAAGATAAATCACATACACACACAGAGACACGTACATATTGTCGTTGTTGCATATAAATTAACGCGATGCAACGAAAGGAGGGAAGGAGGGACACTTTCCACAAGGTAACTAATTACACTTACAGCAAATTATTTTGTGGACTATGTATCTGTATATATACATGACCACACATACACACACTCAGACAAAACACACACAGACATGTTCGAATACACTATTATGATGAGAAAGAGAGAAACGTTTTACGACTATAACTATACACGCATCAAATAGTATTTATTATTGTGTACTGTACTGTCTCTTATAATTCTTCTCATTGTACATTATTATACATATACGTATGTAAACATATATACACACACACACATACGCAAGAGCTCACACGTATGTAATATCGATATTGTCGAGAGTACATTACGCACGATCTCGGGAATGTAGATTGCAAAGGTCCGCGCGCAGCATCTTCGACAATTGTAACAATTGCGCGAGCGCGCAGGCACCACCTTGAGTCTCTGTCCGAATTTCTTTACGTTCGTAACTTCACCATCGTATTGTGTGTGTACTCGCGCGTTTATGTGTGTGCGCGCCGATGCGATTTCGGGATTAATTCTTTAAAAAAGAAAACCCATCGTCCTCGCGCGAGGCACGGCGAAAAGTGATGAGACGCGACAGCTTGCGCCGACTCGAGATAGAGAGATGTAGCCGATCTCGTCGGTCTCGAATTGCGTTTTTTTGCGCGTGCACGCTCACGGGGTTTGTCAAGGAGTCAGCCAGTATTTGTAATAATAATGCTTGAGAAATGCATGAATATTTGTTTTATTAATGCTTCTTCTTATTTCATCTCTTTCTATGATAAAAAAAGAAAAGAAAAGTGAAACAGAACTCTTCCCGAGACTCGCTAATCCCTTGTAATATTTATATTTATACATACATATATATATATTATATATATATACTTGTGTATTATTCGATATTGCGCCCATTATTGCTCACAGTCTTAGCCTCGCTTCCTGCTTCCCTTGTTTTTAATCTCCTCTCACTCGGAATCTATTCGACTCGGTGCTTGTATCGTAACCACACTTTCCCTTCGATGTTTTGTTTTTTTTTTTAAACTTTTATCATTACTTTTTCTCTCGGTGTCACGCTGTTTTTTCCGTACCCGGTGTTTGCGATCGGGTACAGCGACGTCACACCGACCGCAATTATCCCGTGGATCAGTTACACCTGTACTAATTTCGACGTTTCTCCCTTAGCAGACGCCCTTGAGAACAGGGCGTCTCCTCGCGTGCCCTTGGCGAAATTCCTGCCGTCGTTGCGTCGTCGCGGAATCGTCGTGGAATTATTGAATTTTTCCCACGATTTCCGCGACGACTTCTCACTCGCCGAGAGCACGCGAGTTACGCCAAGCACGCGAGTCCTCCCAAGACCACGTAGATGTTAGCCGCTTTTACCATGGCGAACACCGTAAAAAAGAGTGCCGTACGACTCACGACTCGCTGTCCTCTTCTTCTCGTCTTTCCTCCCGTAATCTTCGCCACCCACACCACCCGTTTCTGACTCCCTCACCGGCTTTTCCCGCGCTTTAGTTGCGACATTCTTGAGGCACGGAGGAGATGTATGATATCTATACCCACCCGATCCGACACGTCTCGATCCCTGGCCTCTCGATATCCTGTTTATTCTATACAATCGCCACATCAAGCCCCGTCTTCCCTGGCAAAGATGGTTGATCGTCATCGAGAAGAAGGTCGGCGCTCTTATCGCGTTTTATCGTGCTCTCGCAAGTCGTATATTTCGAACGTGGGGTAAATTTTTGGGACGCGACACGAGTTTCCATTTACGTCGAGTTCGATCCGTTAATCGTATGCCACGAGCGAGACAGTTGTTGAGGCACGGGCTGCCGATTTGGATTTTTCGCGTGAACCGTTGCCCCGATCAGGTCCGACATTATTTACGCTACGTTCGTAGTACACGGCTTCTGTATTTCCGGGAGACGATTTGGAATTTTGGAATCGAGAAACTAGAATGCGAGAATTGTTCAAAATAAAAGCTATTATTCCGATATTGGTAATTAAAAAGCATGTGATATAACGGACTCGTTTCACTTATTACGACCTTTTTCAAATATTCTGAAAATGTTCCCCGCCCCGTCGTCCTGCGCTCCTCTCGCCTCCCCTCCAGCTTTCTTTGTTACTCATCGCTAAGCCTGCGTAAGATGTGCGTGTGTGCCTAACGAGCTCTTCCATAATGCTTGGCACAATGAGCCTCCTGTAAATATGAAATCTCCAACGAAAAAGCCGAAGATCATAGCTCCAAAACGTAATCGCTTGCTCACTGTTAAGTTTCATTTCAGAGGCAGCTTGTCGGCGCGATGTTGGAGTCATTGATCTTCGCAGAATCGTAACGACGCTACGCAACTGCGTGATAAGTTAGGAGGCAGTAATAAATCCTGAACGTATTTGAGAAAGAATTTCAAAATGTCCATCCTGCCAGTTACAGCCTCGTACTTTATCGCGGCAAAATGATTTTGCTAGCTGCTTCTAGTCGCGCTTCGTTTGCCGCTTCCGCCAAGCTGTTCGGCGGGCAGAGCCATTTCGCAGCGAATCGCCATCGGCAAATTAACGTCGGCTATTCCTCCCTTTTGTGTCGCCGGCATATAATTTCGGCTGCGATTGCAGACGCGCGCCACGAGACCGATCGATTGCGAGACGATCCTGTTTCGGCTGCGACGAGGACGAGCGCAGCCGGCCGTGAGAAAAAGAGCTCAGGATGCAATTTGAACGTAGCACGCGGCTGCGTACGCGTGTGTGCGCGTCGAGCAAGCAAACGCAATTACGCAAATACGTAAACGAAAGTTTATGGCTCCTGCGCTCGCGCATGGTGCAAATTAACCCCGCGGTCCCCACGTTCGCGACGATTCGCGACAGTTCGTTGCCGCGCTCTAATCCACCGGATCACAACCAACGACTCGCGGATGCAAATGATGGATACGCGAGAGGGAAAAGAAAAGAAATTTTTTTCAGCGTGATTGGTCTCTCCCACTTTATTGATGGTCGAAACGGCGGCGATCTAGTTACTGCTTGTCTTGTTTGTTGCGCGTTGAAGCACCTTGTATATCGACCAGAAGCCGAGAGAAGGCGCGGCTTCCGAAAATTCTAGTAGTAGTTCTGCTGTAATGTAATACGAGCGAGTCACTTGCTGCGCTACGTGGCTAATAAAAGTTATATGTGCTTTTGTAATATAGCCATCTTCATGATCCTTACCAGATAATCGCCACTTAATAATAATCGATATATTTGCTGTCTATCTTCTTCTGCGCTAAAGAATTTTGAACGCAAGCGACGCTTCTTGCATACCCGCATACCTGCGCCGATATTAAAACCTCGACATGCAGCACTCTTTCCAATGTAAGTATCGCAGTAGCACTTTATTGTATTTACATATGCAAGCTTCAGCTCCATTGTCATTTAATTGTACTTATTTCTATAATATGTTTAATAGGCTACTTTCTTATAGAGCGTTCGCACATGACATACTCTGTGTAGGAGATACGGATTTTATGTGCTTACCTCAGCATTCTGCGTCTTTTCCGTATTACAACGTATACTAGTTTAATAAGTAGCCCCTCCCCCCCCCCCCTCCGATTTGCGTGCAAAGTGCATTCCCCGCGGACCAACGTGCAAATCAAATTCGCCGACGAGAATATTTAAAATGTCTGGGAAGGTTGTAAAAAGTACGACGAATAATCTCTTTATCTTGATGTACGTAATGGAATGTTTCAATTAAAAATGTTCATTACGGTAATTAACAGAGTTACAGACAAAACACGGTAATTCGAGAGATCCAGGAACCAAATGGTAAAATAAACGAATTGGAAGGGTAATTTAATGAACGAGGTTTAAAAAGATTAAACTTTCAGATTAATCTCTTCAATTTTATTCAATCAGTATTATTATGCCTGTATCCCGAGTTGGTGAAAGATCGAAATTTATTGAAAGATAAGCCTGGCCGCGCGACTACGCGTAAGCGGAGAGCTTTTGCAAATCGAAGCGATTTTGATTTACACCGATTTGGATCCGACACTCTTTGGAAATGCATCAGTCGCTCCAAATGGGAAGTCATCTGTATACCTATTTGCCTGGTTAAACTGTCACCTCGACAAAACTCGATATGGACACTTACTTAGCGCATGCGAACACGGTGTACTTGAAACGCAAAGCTTCATAGAAGGATGCACGAGAGGAGAGCGTAACTCGTTGGAAGGATTCGCTATAGTCCCGTGGCTATTTTATATCGGGGGTTCCAAACCGCCACGGTGTTGGACACGTATAGTTTCATACACTATGCAGTGTGCTATATATCACCTCTTGGTTCGTTTGCAGCGCAAGAATTGAATTCGGCGTGCGCGTGCGACTTCTAACGACAGGCTCTGTACGAGACGAATGTGCGCCAGCCAAATACATATGTGTACCACACGTATATATACATATATATATATTTATATATACACATACACTGGTGCATGCTGAGGCGCGATCGTTCATGGTCTCTTTCAACTTTCTGTTTCATGCTTGCCCTCGCCTGGATACCCACCGCACGCGTCTTTCAACCGAAAATTCACCATGTGCATACCGTTTGATCCACCACCCCCTGGCCGACGCTTTCATCCCGACCCGACCCGTCCCGACCCGTCCCGACCCGGCCGATGCGATCCCGATGTCCTCCGTGTGTGTGGCCTACGTGGCGCCGATCCAATCCTCTAATTGATGAATCCACGATCTGCACGACGTCTCCCACCCCGCTCCTCGCCTCGCCTCGATCGAACTTCACTCATGTGGCGATTGTGTGACAATCTCTCCCGCTCGTACGCCGAAAATCTTCGTGACCAAAAAAAAAATATATATATATATTAACACACCGCATTAATCAACGTTAAAAAAAAACGTTGTCACCTATCCGTAAAATTATCCCCTGCGTCTCACGATAAACGACAAATGTATAATAATGAAACGCGCACGCACGGATCGTCGATATCGCTGGTCGCACGCCACTTAAAACCTCGATGCAAAATCGTCAATCACTTTTTTTTCGCGTTCGTTAACCAATCGCGGACAAAACTATGGTGATGGGTTGTCGGTGCTTCTCCCTCTTCCACCCCCTCTCTCTTCTCTCTTTTTTTTTCATTTCTCACAATCGCCGATCTCGTTTCGTTCGTTGGTGGCCACGCCGAATCGTTTGATAAATATTTGGCAAACGAACGAAATAAAATGACATACGGATTCGAACGTCGTCGCGCGACTTGAAAATGACGGCCCGCGGCGATAAAACGAAAAATAAACGATATGATAATACCGATTACACATATATACATATATATGTGCGCGCGTGATGTATATACTCGTGGATGGGTGGCGGCGACCTGACACATGCGTTCTTGTTCTCTGCTTTATCACGTGCTTCGGTCCGACTGGTTGATTGATTTTTCCCCGATTTTGCCTCTATATCTGACCGTGCATATGTCCACATGTAATCTCCTATTTTCGATATATATATATGTATACACACATATATATTATTTATAATGAACATACACATACGTTCTTGAAACGCTGGCTTGGTATGTGTGCACCGCCGCCGCATTATTTCGATGCCCGCCCGTCAAATCTCGATGACCCCCGTGGACGAAATCGGTATCGATGTCCGCGCGGCACGCCCTGATAACACGCGTCCGTCGCTTCGTCGAATTTAAAATGTGTATAATATCGCGCGCATCCGGACACACACGTATACGCGTGGCAACCAACGCGCGCTGAAATTCCCTCC